AATTTTAATTTAGCTCAAATTTTAATCTGATGCAGTATGAAATACAGTAGTTATTTCACGATTTATCATATCATTAACATCACAGATCAATTGAAATATTATTCAGTATTGCGGCGCAGCCACAATGATAAATGATATCGAGATTGATTCGTGATTTTAACAATATCAACATGTAATAACTGATTTATTACAGAAATTTCAATTGTTTATTATGGCTTTTTTTACCGATGTTTTCACAATTGATATTTTCACGGTGGACTTAAAATCAGAATATCAGTAAAAAAGGTCATGGGTGAATAACCATAGGAAGACGTTCGTATGATTGGCTGTTTAATTTTACATGATTTATACAGTTTAAAGTACTTTTTTAAAAAAAAACCAAATTACGAAGAATAAACAAAAATGAAGTATATAGAAAGTTTTGATAGAGTTATAGGACTTCACTATTAAAAATAATCAAAATCCCTTTTTGTTTTAGAAAAGTTAGCATGGTAATAACCTAATTCAACCCTAATAAAACTTTTTATATACTACTTTTTTTGTTTATTCTTCATAGTTTGATTTTTTTTAAATAGGTACTTTAAACTATATAAATAATGTAAATTTAAATAGAATTATACAGCCAATTATACAAAATTCTTCCTACAGGGTGAACCATTAGGAGCCATGTAATAAATATTTGTTTATCATTTATTTATTTTAAAAGATTACTGTAGATTCCTTTCCGAAAGGTGTTATGTTGGTACAGCCTGTATATTGTAATAAGGTTCTCCAAGCACGCAATTCACAGTCTTTAATAGTATAATTTGGTGGGTATATTTCTTGTAATTTTGTTGTTAATTCAATAAGATTACTTTCTTGATTTTGCTAGCTAATAAAAAAATTTTTCTATTTTATAGACATATTGATATTTTTTCTTAGATAATAATTAAAAAGAGTATTTATTATTTGTTCATTTTGCCAATCCTCTACAGTACACGAAAGGGTTAGTTCTTTGCTGATTTCTGACTTCATCCCTTCATGTTCAATTCCAAATAGCATGCTTCCTGTAAATTGTGCTAAAATACCAATTTTATTCCAAACGGAGTTAGGGTTAGTATCACGAAAATTCTGAATTTCTTGAAAATTTTGATAAATTCTAACAATCGCTTCTTTATTACTAAATTCTTGAAAAAATATTGTTCGAGTTTTGCGAAAGTTATGCACAAAAGAGCTTCGGTATCCTTTTCCAGCATAATTCCAATCGGGATTGTTAGATTTACCAATTCCAAAAATAGTCAAGTTTAAGCTTCCAATGGTAAAAGTATAAGGATGAAAATAAATCTCAGAAAGTAATATTTCACATATCACTGAATTGTCATAACCCATAACTAATATACCATCTAGTCGAGTTTTTGTAAAAAAAGCTTGTTGATATATAGAAGTAACTGCTTCTGATGAACTTCGACATATACTACTTTGCAAGGCTTCTGATTGA